TGGACCATAGAGGTTATCTGAAGATGACAGCTATGATGCTTTGACTACAGCTGTTAGGATATTAAACAAGACAACAAACAGCCCCTGAGTTCATTAATACTGAAAAGGCTCAGTGTATTAAAACACTTATGCTTGCTTATTTAGTACTTGTCCCATAAAATTATAAGACTTTATAAAGTACAAACTATTAACAACTAATCTGTTTTAGGGTCCTACAAAACTTAGTGTGCCAATTTGGTAACTTAGCCACTCGCTACACATTTTTACTATATAACTAAAGCTGCTATTCTTTCTTATATTGTCTGTTAGGTTGACACGCTAAACAAAAATTGCAACGGATTTAATTATTTAAAGAATAAAGGAAATTATGAGCAATATCAAGTACTGTCATGTCTTTAAAGTACATACCTTACTTTTAGTTGCCCCCCCATTGGTTAAAGTATGCTTTAAGCTGGGATTAATTAAGCAAAAATCTTTTGATGCTCTTAGCTCTTTCAATATTTAGGAATAATCTCAATCTTTAATGTAGGCATCATTTGGGTCTATGAGTTACATAGTTAGCTAAATCAGTAAAATAACATCAACAACTCTGCATATGCGGTCGGATCTTCATCAGATCAGATAAAGTTAATTTAGAAAGGTTACCATTGCATTGAGATGATAAACTCCTATACCTTATTGACAATATCAGAGTTATCTTGAAGGAAAGATACTTTATTAAATATGCTCTGAGATATTCCTTGAAATACCTTGCTTAAAAAGTGTTAAGGTGTGCTAACTTGGATTCCAAAGGCTTAATATCTACACAATAAAAAAAAGATTAAACATCCAACCATTAAATTGGTTTTCAATTAACAATTGTTGTGTTGGCACTGCATCATAAAACTTATCACAGAGCAGAACCAGGTTGGATGTTGCGTAGTGTATAACCCCAGTAAATTAGACATGTGAGTCATGGCTGTATGCAAGATGCTTCCTCATTATGAGCTGCTGTGCTATAAATCTGTTTTTCACTTTAAGAGAAATAATTATGTGGACTGAAGTTGAGAAGAAGGTGTTGATTACTATACGTGCGAATACCCAACTCAATATGCATGTTGTTATAATAGAAATATGATCACTCCTTCAGCTGCCCCTGTTTAGATTTGATATGGGAATTTTGGACAGTGTTCAATACAAGACATTAGAATAATATACATTTTACGAAAGAATATTACTTGTAAATGTAATTGTAACCTGGTAAAGCTTGTTACTTTGGTTAAAAAAATAGATTCAAGATTAAAAGTGACTGATCATATTGATCCAGTGAACCATTATCATAATTTGTTGTGTGTTTTCCAGCAGAGAGTAGTAAAAGGCTGATATCAAGTTATTAGTTGTAACATATATGCATGTGTAAACTCGAGTTTAAGTGAAAATTTTCTAAAGATTTGCTTCTTAAACATAAGATAGTCATTGCAGTAACTGTAAGAAGAGATCCAAGCCTTTTTTGGTAGATAGTAAGTTATTACTTTTTCTGTAATGTTTTATGATTTAACCAGTTAGGATTCACTAGTTTCTGCTGAGTTAAATAATCTTTTAAATTACTGAATTAAGCTAACTTTTTATGCATCTTTCACGTATTACAAAAACACATAGTTTTGTAAATATATTATGATGACACAGTATGTTAAAGTTATAAGATTGTTAACCCGTTGATCAGTTGTAACATAAAAAAAATAAGTTTTCTTGAAATCTAAAAGCTGTGTGTTTAAAAATTTAGCTTGTTTCATTAAAAATACTTTAAATACACACTGCTTTGGATATGTGAGCAAGAACGTCAGGTTTTATAAAAGACAACTATTTAAAAGATTAATAAATTCTTCGATTAATAAATTCTGGACATGAAAGAAAAAAATATCCACATTTGGAAACCAAAATATTAGATCATTACACTTGTTTACATCTGCTGTTTTGCAGCGCATACACACTGCTAACTGCTAATGCATACTAAATACTGCTATGCATAATACATACCCTAAAAATAGATGAGTGGAATACTAATATGTGATAGGGGCTAGCAATGGTGGGAGTTAATTGCAGTCATAATGTTTACAGCACATAGAATTAATGATATCTTACTGAGAGTAATTGTGCCTGTTTTGGCCTGAAAATGTGATGAAAACAATTGCTTTAGTTCTTCTCACAAAAGAGAAACCAGTTGAGTGTGTGATGGTTAGGGCTTTCATCAGACCTGCCTGATACACACATCAATGAGCTAGGTCCTCTGGGGCTAAGGACAGGCAATAATTAATCTTCCTTGACATCATCATCCTCAGTGTCACCTAGCAACTATCCACTTACAGAAGCGCGACAGGGACAGCCCAGAACGGGGGCGCTAGTTGGCTACAATCAGTGATGTCAATCTGGAGCTGCTATAAAACATCTCTTCTCATTTTTATCTCATGAAATTTACAAGATGTTTACAATGTGATATATATACACGGTATATATAAACCACAATTATGTTTGTGAAAGGCAGAGTTATGGTTAAAAAGACAGTAAACCCTCTTTAAAATCCAGGGTTTAACATACCAGGTCAAATGTATTTTTTGAACAAATCTAATCCTGGTTATGCAAAAAAGACACATCAGCTTCATTATGCATTACACAAAGAATAAGTGGAAATGGAAAAGCTGAGTAGGAAAATAAAATACCCTCCCAATGGGCCTTCAAGGGACTTAACAAGTTAAGTAGCATCTGCTATTCATTGGACTCTACTAACTGATTATCAGGGAAGGTTACTATTTTTATAAGAGAAGGAGATTTACCGTTTTCTGGTTTGGGTAATATGGATGTGCTTTAGCTAATAATTAAGGAGGACAGAGATTAGTGATGCCCTTAGAGAAAAAAACAAACACTACTTCACCATTCCATAATGAGCTGAGAACAAAACATAATAAACACAGTAAACAAGGTTACCGTATTCATCCCACAGCAAGAAATCTGCCATATCTACATGATGAATGCAACAATGATCCCAAACAAAGCAGAACATTTGAAACAGAATGGATACAGAAAACAAATGATCAAAATTCACACTTGACCGATTTAAAAGATTGTAATGAGACCTTAAATAAATAAAACATAAAATAATATCTACAAGAACCAATGCTAAGGAAGAAATTGCTTAAAACAGTGTCCCTACTAACAATCATTATAATCTAAAAAGAAAAGGCAGCAAAAACTGAATCGATTCAATTGTTTACCCAACTTAATTGATGAAAGTTTTTAGCTTACTAACTTCAAAAATTAAGTTGATTTAACTGTCTAATTAAAGCGATTTATTTAAGTTGGAGCAGCATTCTCTGTTTACTGTACTGCTGAAGGTGATTCTGAAACCAACAGGATCATTGCATTTAATTAAACATTTTAACACACTGCTTTTATTTTCTGATACATTGTTTTAAACAATTACAGAATGTGGTAAAAACTAGAGTAATATGTGTTTTTTTATGCATTTTAACCCACCAATTAAATCGTACACTCTTGAAATTAAACATACCACTAGAGTTTAGCAACAAAATATGCATTGTTCATTCTCCTGATATTCAACTACATATTACTTCTTTCATTTCCATTAATATCAACATGCATGAATGTTTTCGAGTCCCCCTCCACGGAGTTAAATGTTCAGGGAACGCAGGCGACGTTGACACAAAGCACGTCCCAAACATTCGTTTGTTTTCTGTTTAAGCAAATCCATCTTCTGGAGGGAAAATTAAAGCAAAGGCAGCACTTAAATAACTTTCATTAAATGTTGATGGACTCTCTGAGCACCACCAATCACCTGACCAGATAAAAAGACAAGCAATAGTCTTTTGTTTAAATGTCTACGTGTATAGCAAAAAAAAGCGTGACCAGCCAGGGAATATTACTCAGACTGACATGCCGGGAACGTCTGCTTGCAGGGAAGCACAGCCTAACTAGTATTTTCTGCCTCAGTAACAGGCAAGATTAAGTTGTCAAATAAATATCACAGCTTTTTTTTTTTTTTTATCCACTTTATACAACACACCACAATCTTAAACATGTACAAACTTATATCCAGCTGCTGCCAACCCCAGGTAAAAAGAGTCAAGACTTTCCTTATCAGAAGAAATGCTAATTTTGCAATGCTATGTGGCACAGGGTACCATCTATATATATATATATATATATATATATATATAAGGTTTTTGACATGTTGCATTACCCTGTCAGATGTGGCCATCAAAAGATGGGTGCACCATAGTCATAAGGATGTGCCATACTCGAGTATGGCTTTTAAATCATATTTAAAAGGCACTATGGGGTCAGAATTGTGCAAAGAAAAGTGAAGATGAGTGTATGTTTTCAGATTGAACAATATGGCTTTTAATTCCAGTGTTACCCCCACCAACTGTGGTATGTGATGAATCTAGTTACCTCAGTGAGGCAACTAGACTCACCCCACCCTTTGCACAGATCGGACATTCTAAAGAGATCAAACAATTGGAAGCTGCAGATGGAAGGGCGCTCAGGTAAGAGACAGTGCCTTCTGCGTGTTTACCGCTGGAAAATTGGGGAATAACAGCCTGTCATACAGGAACACATCAGCCTTTGTTAAAGAAATTACTTTGCTCTTCACCCAGCTCTCTGATGCTCGGCCTCATGCACAAATTGTCCATTTGGCGAGTGCAGTCTAAATGGAACTGCGTCTATGCCATGTTGCTCCGGCACAGCACAAAGAAACCGGGGCAGATAGGAATCCAATTATCCCAGGCATATAATGGATGTCTCATTTAAGATGTGTGGCTGTTGCCGCAGTAATGGCAATGGCACAATTTTCCGAAAGCCAGTCTCTATCAAGTGCATCATGGTCTGTTCAACACTAACTCATATACGTCCTTGTAGTGTGAGCTGTCAAACGCCAAAGATCATAATAAATCTTTTGAAGGGTCAAGAAAAAAAAAAAGGTTTAAGATGGAGTGTTTACTCACATGTAGCGTAGATGTGGGTTCTGAGCAAACGCTCGAGGCTGGATCACCCTCAGATTACAATTCATGATGGTCCTGAGGAGAAAGAGATAAAGTACAAAAAATTATTCTTTGAATTTCCTTTTTCTTAAACATATTTAACTTGAAGCACATTTTCTCCTTATGGCACAATCATTCAAACGGCAGGAGGGCAGCTGGATTCCTCATCTCTTATCTGGATTTTCTTTTTTCATTTTGGTCTGTTTTCATTTTCTTCTCTATCTTCAAAAGTACTGCTTTAATTAATACAGTAGTATATATACATGGGGGTCTAATTAAAAGATAAAGACATATTAATGATTGTCAATTAGATGACATGCATGCTTTATTCAGCTGTAATGTAAATGTAGCTAGAGAGAACCGTTCGGTGTTTTTCTTCCTCACATAAGCTCAGTCTGCATGAATATTTTAAGTTGATCTGCACATAATACTGCTGGAGAGATTTCTAGACTTTATATTGGACAAGAGAACAAGGAGCTCCTTTAATTTTTCAAACTAAAATTAACAAATATATTTGATAAAGCTATTTTTGATTTTTTTTTTCACAGCTGTTGATCCTATTTGATACTTGGTGAACCAGTGGCATATGGCCAATAGAGGACATTAACCTATGACCTTTATTAAAGACATAAAAAAAGTGAAATTATAAAACATTTTTTTTTAGATGTGCAAGAGAAACATTTAATCTTTAATGACAAGTAAAGTTATTTAGTTCATCGTCGTATAGGTGATGGATTTTCGCCCTGGGGTGTTTGCCCATGGACTCTCGTTAAAAGTTGTGCATGCAAAAAAATAGGACCATCCTAAAAGCTAAGAGCAACTTTATCTGCAAACCACCTATGGCCTGTTATAAAGTGCAGCTGATTGACAGGTTTATATCATTATTTAGCTACAGGGCTTGGCTAACTGTATGAAGTGAGGCTAGCGCTTTATTCTGCTTTCCCCACCTCCTTTTTCAAACGTCACAGTCTGACCCAGCATGGATAAAGACATGAAGGACTAGTTTAAAGCACTTTTTTTTGGCATTCATATAAATATACTGATGTGATACCTTAGTATACATTTGATTGATTTTTGACATACAGTACATCTATTTTGAAGTTATAGCCCCCCCTGGAGAAAACTCTACCAGCCGCCACTGTAGTAAAGCAATGCTATTTTTTATTTTTTTTTACAAAATCATCCCATTACTAATTCTTTTAAAAATTGTATTTTTGTTTGTTTGTTTGTTTGTTTAATGTGTAAACTAACAAAATAAACTCTACACTATTTGCACCCTGTAGGGCTGAGGACCAGAGTAAAATCCAATTGGAGGAACCTTTTGATGCAATATTTGCTAACTTTTGTATCCTCCATATGAACTGAGTTATATTTCTTGTCAGAGGAGACGCTTCACTTTGTGCAAACTTGTATAGTAGAGAGATAGTAATGAAATTAAACTAATCCTCAATCTGCCCAAAGAGCCCAAATGGAATTCCCCGAGGAGCTCCTAGAATACCCACTGCCGCAGTACGGGAAGCACTGTTCTGAATTACAATTGTAATGACTTCTAATCTTGTAATCACAGATGCCTCATTCCAAAGAAGTCCTTGACATCTCTGACATCACTGAGCGCCTCATAAAGCACTGAGCTGATTACACCCAGCTGTTGGTGCCAATTACCTTCCCAAAATCCCATCATGCCGTTGTGGTATTTGGTGGAGATTTGCCGTCACACAAACGTTCCAGAGGTCATCAGCGATTTTTATGGAGTGCCTCTGAGTACATTCTGTAGCAAAAATGTTAACCTGTGTAACTAACTTATGTCTTCAAGAAAAAAGGCTCAAGAACCTCTACAGTTTACCCTTTACTGCTAATAAGGAAGTTGGGTATGATGAATAATCCATGTTAATTTAAGACATATTTTTTACAATTTGCATGAAAAATTAGATGTTAAATTGTTTTAAAGGTCTGTGGAATATATTTGCCTAAAGAAGGGTGGGAATTTCTGGATGCCGAATTTCGGTCCTGATGAAAAATGCGTTTAGAAGCAGATTAGATATGGTTACTAGTCTGAAGGGTTCCCAACAATTCAAGGTCTTAGTGTGTCCAGTAGTATTGCTCCTGCAGTTTGAGGTCGCTTTATTAGAATGCAAAAAAAGGTGTTAGAGTTAACATACTGTCAATAATATATAGAAAAACTGAATTAGTCTTTTTTTTTGTAAGTTTTGTTTCCATATTGTTTTACATAAAATGGACGATAAAATC